AATGCCTCTTCCACCTTGGCCTCACCTGCACCTTCATGAGTCGCCCCAGGTAAGAGCGGTAGTAAGACAAGTAGATCTTGCTCAGCGTCTCCACATACTCATCCCTGATCTCTTTTGCTGTTGCTCTTTCATTACCCAGTAGGAACTGATAGAAAAACCTGGAGGGGACCAGGAACCAGTTAGTCTCTCTGCCTGTCCAAGAGACCAGACACCACACTTGGCTGCTCAAAGCTCAGAGGCCATCCTTCTCATGGTGACCTGTATTTCAGCAGGGCCGTCTGAGGGATCTGATAGTTGGTCATTGGTTTTCTGAAGGAATAAATCTTCTGAAGGATGAATTCTCGGATCTTCGTCACTGCCTAGATATGGGAGACCAAACACAGGGCATGAAGCTGCAAACTTCTTACTGTTTTGGTGGCACTTAGGAACATGACAGATGTTAAATGTAGGAGGAGGAAGAATGGAGAATATTTCTTTAGTGTTCAGGGGAACCTAAAGATGTGGAAATGAGCTTTGCCAGGAAAAAGCAGGGTGAAGTTCTTGGGGACAGGCAACAATGAATTCTGCCAGGAAAATCCAGGATGAAGGTTTTGGGGAGGCCGGTTCTAGCAGTTTCAGGGATATCTCCCGACCCTTTACCTTGACCCGGAGCCGGTCGAGCACACCTCTGACGTCTGCACAGGCTGCTGTGCCTCTAGCCTCCTGTTCTCGGACTGCAGCTGCCTTGGCATCCAGTTCCTGCAGCTGTTCCAAAAACCTGGGCTCTGTCACTGGCGCCTCCAGAATTGCCCTGGGTAGCAGGGAGGAGTGGGTTAGGAGGGAGACCCAGACATCCCTAGGCTCCAAATTATATCCCTTACATACAGCTTCTGTCCCCTCTCCCTTCTTACACTGTATCATACAGTCAAGATAAAGGTACAAAGTTTTCCATTTCTGGATCCCCCTTCCCATATAAGCCTTGGACCCCTTCACTATACACCTGACCTTGGATGACTCTTAATCTTTGCTACCTAAAGTATGCATCAAGGTTAGAAAGAGTTGTCAATCTGACCATCAGTTTCTGGAAGGCACTTGATGACCTGGACCCCAGAAACCCATGTGGTCACCCTAGCTCATCTACCTGTTATAGACATTGTGATCCTTTAAACTAGTAACTCACGTGACCAGAGCAGAGGGCACTACCAGACCATCAACAAGTTCCCCAAGTTTCCCCCGAACTGCCTGGCGGTTTCGAAGCCGAATGTTCATAGCTCCTGACTGTTCCTGCAGTGTCCGGATCTCAGAACTGATGGAGCTGAGGTCACTCTGAAAAGCTCCCAACATCTGCTCCATGCGCTGAGGGAAAAGGCAGATGTTGCTGGAGTGTCACAGGTGGTAGGGGATAAGTGGGCCACCTAAATGCATTGTTTAAGTCTCTAGTATCTATCAGTCCATGAGGGTAGCAGGTGACGAGTGAAGAGGTAACCCAAGGGTCACTGGCAAATAACATTAATTATGGCAATAACAACAAAAGAGGCTGCTCAGGTCATCCTGCAAGTGACTCAAACTGTCCTCACCTGAGGCTGATGACCTAAAGAATGGAACCAGAGACCATAATTTGGTTCAAGGTTATCAGGGGTCACAGGCCACGGTTACTAACCTCAAGGACAGCATCACAGGCTGTGATTTGGTTGTGCAGAGATGCTATGTTCTCACTCTCTTGGATATCTGACCCACAGAAAGTCAAGGGGCCTCACCATGAAGTTGGAGATCCTCAGACCTTTAGGACCTAACTTCTCCCTGAGGTGACAGAAATCTCAGAGAAAAGATGTCATCCCCAGCTAGGCTCTCTGTACCATGCTCCACAAAATTCCCATTTTAATAACACCACCCTTTTCCTCTGCTGGCGGATACAATCCCGAATAGATTTCTGCTCAATCTGCTGTAGCTCCAGCTCAACCTGTTTTGAATAGTGACGGAGATCCACACCCTGGGAGAACACAAACATGACAGGTCAGTAGGAAGTCACAGTGAAAGGACAATGGAATAGAATCAACGAAGGACTAGAGGGTAAGACACTAGGGTAATATTATAAGTGCAAGAGACTTTCCTTTTTTTTCTTTAAGGGGAAGGTAAGTGTGTGTTGGGGGTTAGATTAGTATAATGGAAAGCCTCACCGTTTTAAGAGCTTCCTTTACTAACTCATCCTCCAGATTTGCCTGAATGTGAACTGGAAATAAAAGTTTATTATAAGGGTTCAGTTCCACAGCTCCCTATTCCCACACTGAACATCTGCACACCAATGCATGCCTTATAACTTCCAGCCCCTATGCCTCTCAGATTACAGGCACTCTGCATCCACCCCGTGCCATCGTTTACCATCCACTTCATCCAGGATAAATTCATCAGAGGTGATGTCCAACTCTCCAAGTTGCAATGGCTCCTGAAGACCAGGACCACCGCCCTGGAGAGAGATAAGTTAATAAGAAAGGAATACAGAGAAAGAAGAGAAAGAACAAAATGTAACGGGATAATCCCCAATCCTTCAAGGAGGAGAGGAGGAACTTTTACTGGGAAGCCATAGGTACTGAGTCAAAAAAATCCCAAGAGTCTCACATTGTACCCAATCTACTACTTAGGGCTGATGGGCAGGGAAGACGACAAGGAGCCAGGCAACCCACAAAGAGAATGGAGGTAGGTGATCAAATTAGAAAAATTAGGAGTTGCAGAGGACAGAGCAGAACTTGCAGTTGAATTTAGGAACCCCCAGATTCTTGTTATCTTAGGTGTTCTATCACAACCCCCGCAGGGAGCTCCAGCCTTTCTAGAAGCATCGGCTAACACACAGTGTTTAACTGCATGCTAAGTGCCATCTTAAGTATACTCATCCATCTAATCATAATCAACTACCCATATGGTAAATCTTATTATTGTTCTTCACCTTATAGGTATGGAAATTGATAGCTAGTTAACTTGCCCAAGACCACAGCGTGTAAGCAAAACTGGAATTAGAACACAGCCAGTCTGGCTCCAGTGATCATGTTCTTAACCTTTACAATACATTGCTTCTCTATGCTGCCCCAAAATCTGGAGGTTAATTAAAAATCGTGGCGCGGGGGCCTGAGTCTCGACCATTTTGGTCCCCGCTTAGGTTCAGGGCCGACCTGAGGGAGGGGTTCGGAGAGTATCCTCGGTAGCAGCCGAGCTCCCACCCTTGCGCCGAAACTCAATCCAGGTTTTACTGACGCGAGGACGACCGGACAAGATTCTGGAGGAGAAACAGCACCGCGTTCTTACCAGCGAGCCCTCCTCCTCCTCCATATCTGAGGCCCCGGACCTCAATACCAGATCCCGTGCCGCTGCAGCCATGGTGGCAGCGGCGGCCGTTCCGCACAGCCTCACTTCCGGCAGCTGTCAGTTGCGGTGAGTCTGTTCTCTGTAGTGAAACTACAAGTCCTAGGGTGTCTTGCACAGCGCCAAGTCGTTCTCAGATATCTGCGTTAAATTGTTTGACTCTAACCCTTCCTTTCGGCTCTAACTTCACCCAAGTACAAATGGGAATTGGAAGTCTTAAACACGATCGCAGCCGGAACCTTAGTTGCTCTCATACCCCAAAACTTTACGAACTATAAAGAGAGACCACACCGGAAGTTTTGGAGACCAATTCAGCCTCTCAGAAGTCGACTCGACTCCTGCGCAAGCCGTTTCCGGAAGCGCTTCACCAAGATGGTCCCGCCTCTTCCGCCTGATAGCTATATAAGACAATTACGTCACTTCCGCTCTCTTTTCCACAGGAGGCCTACACGCCGCCGTTGGGGCTACCGCCATGGTAAGACTCGAATCCATCGGGGGATCCGGCGACATCGGAGCCGGGGCAGGGAAGGTCTGCAATCAGGGAGGCCTAAAACACCCTGCTTGGGGGACCTGCAACTTTGTGTAAAACCTTGGTTCACGCCCCTTGGAAGGAAAAACTAAAGTCTTCCAGTTCTGGGGAGTGGGGCCAGAGGAAGAGTCCCCGGGCTCTCGAAAGCTGTGAAAGGCTTGGGTGTGTTTGGGACCTCCGGCCTCTGCCAGTCAGAGTGTACTTTTGGCGACAGACGGGAGGGTTTGTCTTCTACCAGAGGTTGTACTTTCCCAAGCCGGAATATTTCATGGTCTTGCTGTCTGCAGACTAAGGGATTTGATGTGTTGTGAAAACCTGAAGGAGATTATTGCTCCCGGTGGGACGATTTTAACGTTTCTGGTTGAGATGATGATTTGGTGGTAGCTTACGGTGTCTGCTTTTTCTTTCCATCTCTATCAGTCTCTAGTGATCCCTGAGAAGTTCCAGCACATTTTGCGAGTACTCAACACCAATATCGATGGGCGGCGGAAAATAGCCTTTGCCATTACTGCAATTAAGGTAAAGTAGGGTAAGGAGTGGAGAATATAAATGAATCTTAGGCTGTTAAGATCTAAGCCATAAGTGAGTTGAGGTTGAGGAAACAAGTCCTAACCAAATCACCTCAGTTGCTGGATAAAGGATGACTGATACCTTTAACCCCTTCCCACATTTACCCCAAAAGATCAGGAAACCAGAGAGTAGTCTCAGGTCAAGCCAAAATCTTTCACCGAGGGGATGGGAAGTTGATTTGATTGTCTACCTGAATTCGCTAGGATCTTCTTGGACCATCAGTCATCATCTTGAAATCATTCTAGATTTGGTTTCTGTCCACCTCCCTCAGTGCATCTTAACAGCAGCCCTTCCTGTGAAATTTATGCGCTGTGTAAATTGGATAATTGTACATCTTGAGGGGTGAGTAGAAATGCCAACAGTTGGTAAATATAAAACTGTAGTTGGGAGGAGTGTCACTACATCATTAGGACAGTTACTAAGATGCCACAAGTGAAAGTCATCGCCTGTTTCTAGTTGAAGTAGGAACAAGTACTTATTCATTGCATGAAATAAGTTGAATGCAAGCTTGAATCTCCCTCTTAACCAACCTAATGAACTCTTGACCTTCCTAGGTGGGTACAATCTTTTTCTTTAAATATATGTAATTAGTTGTGGAGATGACTTAATGGCTTCCTTTCCTACCAGTATATGTACACTCTTGGGTCAGGGATAGTCCTGCTTTGCTCACAGTCTTCACCTTCTGATGCATGATAGGTGCTCATTCGGTGTTAGGTAATGGATGTTATCAGGAATATCTTTACCTGGTTTTAAAAAATTTGGAAGGGAACTGATAGTTTATAGATGAGTTGTTAATTCAAAATTAAGTCCTAACTTCACATTTCCTTGATTTTTAATTCTGTACTGCATGGAACACAGCTTCATTTTTTTTTAATTGGTACATAAGAACATTGCTTTCCTTAAAATTTGTAAGGTATTGTAAAATAACATTTTTCAAAAGTTAGGCTTTAGTGAGATGGTAAATATAAAAGGCGATCATGGTTATTGGGAAGCTATTATACTCTGTCTCTTTGGAATTAGTTTTGTGTTGGTTACTTATGTAAATTTAACCAAAGCATTTTCAGGTACTGAGTGAACATTGTGGTGAGTCTGTTAGGGTCGCTGATGCCTTATCATTAGGAAAGATTATTCCTATAGGACAATACTGAATTTTTTTGTTAATTTTGTGAAGAGCTAGCAAAGGCAGCTAGCTCTTCCTCTGTTGAGAGGACTAAAGCTTGAAGGTAGTTCCTTGTTAAGGATCCGGAAGAGGGGAAAGGCAGGGTGATTGTAGAGAGAAGTACCTCAAAAGATGTGGTTAAATAAGTGATAGGCAAGGTTAATTGGCCAGGGAAGGGATTTCTGCTTTATTCTTTAAGGCTGGCTAGACTTCTCTTCTTCCTCTAAATCAGGGTGATAAGTGTCATCTGTGGATTATTTTGGAAACATGGAAGGAGAGGGGGTCGGAGTTGGTTACAATGACTGGGAAGTGCCATTGGCTTTGTTTATAAGGAATTCTTGTCCTGCCAAAATCCCATGAGTAACACTGCTCTAAGTACTTTTAGAGAGTAATACTGAGTTGGTATCAACTCTTCTCTATGATCCAGGCCCTTGGACTACAAAGATGAGAAAGTGTTCCCTGTAGTGTAATCTGAGTGGAGAAAGGGTGGTTTGGGGGAAGAGAAAGGAGCATCTGTGGATCTAACTTAGGAAATTCACAAGCCATTATCTAGAGTCAGTAAACGTGGCTTTCAAAAAATCTTACCTTGACAGCAACATTTTAAAAACTCAAACAATTAAAAGTAAAGGAAGATTATTAGCCCCTATGGATATATCATCTAGCTAAAAATTAGAAATCTTGTTTCATCTATATTCTTTCTTATCCATGTGTATTTTCCTATAGCACCTATATTCCTAGGTGGTCTCCCATCCAAGTACTAACCAGGCCTGACCCTGCTTAGCTTCTGAGATCAGATGAGATCGGGCTCATTCAGGGTGGCATGGCTGTAGGCTATCTACATGTATTTTATAGTAAATCTCAGACATGCTACTTCATCTGCACTTATTTAAATTTGAGAGACTTAGACCCTGATCTTGTGAAACAACCCGATAATTTGATTTCCTGGGTCACTTTCTTACACAGAGGAAATACCACTTCTTTTTGTTCCCTTGGGCTACTGTAACAAGTTACCACAACTTTGTTGACTTAAACAGAAACTTACTCTCAGTTCTAGAGGCCCAACATCCAAAATCAAAGTGTCAACAGGGCCATGCTTCCTCTGAATGCTCTAGAAATGCTCTCTTGGCTCCTCCTATCTTGTCACCAGCAAACCTTGGTGTTCTTGTAGCTACATCTTATAGTTCCAGTCTCTTGACTCATGTTATCACAAGGTCTTCCCTCTGTGTCCTTATGTCCTCTCTTTTTGTAAGGACACTATAGTCAATGGATTTAGGGCTACCCCTAATCCAGTACGATCTCATTCTAACCATATTTTCAAAGATTGTATTTCCAAATAAGGTCACATTTTGGTATTCTGGATGAGACTACATTAAGGATGGTTGGGGAACATTAACCCAGCCCACCGTCATTCAGTATCCAAATTTGTTTGGTTCATGAATTTAGGTGGCAAGGAGTGCCAGTTTTGGTATTTATATGATGCCACCGATAAAGCATTAGTTTCTTTGGAGTCTGATTTGGACATTTAGCTCTGTAGGACCTGGTCCTTTCGGCACTGACAAAGTCAAGTTTGTGATCTTGGAAAATTGATTGTGGGGATACAGTAGCCTGTCCAAAGAATTATGACTTTTAGAGATCCCAAGCAACTGTCAGTCCTACCCCGTAATCAACCCTGTTAACCAAAGACCCTATTCTTGCTTCTCTGAAGCTGCGTCTGCTTTGAGAGCCAGGCCCTTTGTCCTTCACAGTGCAGAGGTACTGCTCTTGAGTGCCACTGCAGTGACTAACAGTTATTGACAACTATGTACGCTCGGCAATGTGAAAAGATGCTTCAAACTCGAACCCAATTCCAAAACCTCTCTTCAGGGTGTAGGGCGAAGATATGCTCATGTGGTGTTGAGGAAAGCAGACATCGACCTCACCAAGAGGGCAGGAGAGCTCACTGAGGATGAGGTGAGGACAAGGAAGGGGGGCTGTTGGTTGGACCTACCTCAGAAGAGGGCTTTCTGGATCTGACCCTTGTCCTGTCTGCCAGGTGGAACGTGTAATCACCATTATGCAAAATCCACGCCAGTACAAGATCCCAGACTGGTTCTTAAACAGACAGAAGGATGTGAAGGATGGGAAATACAGCCAGGTGTGTATTGAGATGAGAGATTAAAGAAAGGCAGGGCAACCAGTTAGAATTGCTTATAGAGGTCGGGAGTAAAACATCCCTCACCATCTCTTCTGAATCCAGGTCCTGGCCAATGGTCTGGACAACAAGCTGCGTGAAGACCTGGAGCGACTGAAGAAAATTCGAGCCCACAGAGGATTGCGCCATTTCTGGGGGTGAGTTGGGGGTGAGGGTCTCATCTCTTCCTGCCCATTGACTCCCAGAGATTTCTCATGCTCTTTTATCTTCCTGAACCTTTTTCTGTGTAATGTGTATGACCTGTGATCCTCTTTTGTCACCTGCAGACTTCGTGTTCGAGGCCAGCACACCAAGACCACCGGCCGCCGAGGCCGTACTGTGGGTGTGTCCAAGAAGAAATAAATCTGTAGGCTTTGTCTGATAATAAATAGTTTATACACTTATGGCTTTCTTTGTGGTTTTCTCTATTCTTCTGGGAACACTGATAGGGAATGCTGCCACATGGGACCCTGTTGGTCATTTTCCCAACTCAGCAGATGTATCCACCCAGCTTCCCAATGTCCTTGGTTTTAAAGCAATGGTGTTGCCCCTCCCCAACAGGAAGCAGCTCTTTAGTGATCCCCCACCCCAAGGGTTTGAGGAAGTTAGAGCCAACATTCAGCCTCGAGGGGGAGCCCAACCAGTTTTCCCTGGGGCTGCAGAGCAAATTCGTGTGGCGTGTAGGTGGCTGAACCTAGCTAGTTGTCTCTGAAGAGTATTGCGTCTTGACCACCCTAAGTTTCTAAAATAGGAGGTCTGGGTATCTCAAGGGAGATACGGTGTCTGTTGCTAAGTCATACGGCTCTGTATTCGACTCCTGCCGGGTTCCCGGGAAGGCCCCATTTCCTCGCCCGCCCAATTTATATGCCGCGCTGCTGCAAAGCTTCCGACTGGCATATTGGGGACGTGCGACGTCACATCCTCCTGCGGAAAAGGGGCGGGGCTCCGTCCCGCAGCGGGCTGGGGAGGAGGCTGCTCTCCCAGCTATCTGCCAGCCATGGAGCCGAGCTTCGGGGCGACCGTGCCGCAACAAGGTAACCCCGCAGCTCCAGCCGTGGTACCTGGCCGAGCCGCCTACCCCGTGTCGGCACCGTCCGGCACTGGTACAGCCCACGTGACCCTCTCACTACATCCCAGGCGCGGGAGGTGGCGGGGCGGTTTGGGATCCAGGCCGCCGAGAACTGGGCCCTGCACCCTCCAATCGCTTTCCGCCTATCTCCCCAGGTTCTCACTGACTGCGCCACACCATGCCCCTCAGCCTCT